ACTGACCTTAATATTAATGAATTAAAGAAGGGTGATACATCTGAAATTACCGTAGAACAAAAATTAGCTTTACTATCTAATGAATCTAACATAGAGCAATCGAATGGTAAGACAGTCCCGTATGAAACGACTTCATCTAAATTATTGAAAATATTGGAAGAACCCACTGCGCCAAAAGTGTTATCTAATAAGACTGTTGTGTCGAAACAATTTGTTATGCAGGGGAAAGAGAAAATATTAAATTTCGACGTGTGCAATCAATCAATGCGGGGTAAATCGCAGTCGCCAAAACAAAAGATTATTATCCGTCGAACTACGTCCAACAAAAACCTATTGAATAATGTTAACGAAGTTTCGAGTCTTGATAAAATTATTTTATCCCGCAGTAATAAACCTGTCCAAGATGGATCTTCCGTCCAGACATATACTATTCAGACATCTCCGGAAGCGCCATCTGACGCAAACACTATAATTATACAACAGAAAATCAGAAAAATGTCTAAACCATCACCTAAAATCCAGAAAACAAAACCGTCAACGTCTCTCGTTGCACATGTAAAAGAAGCAAAGGCCATTACCGAAACTGCGACAAATGAAGAACCAGTATTCGATATAAATTCTATGCCAGTAGTATTGTCTGATGATATATTAACCCCAGAAAATATAGACAAAATGCCGATTGTTATGTCCGATGGCAACATTATAACAAATTCAACCATTCCACCAAAACTGGTAAAAACTAAATCAAACATTGCTGAAAGCGAAAAAGTTACTGTAAATCCTGTAACAACTAAAGCAGAAATTAAAACAATTTTGATGAACCCATCTAATGAAAGTAATAAAGTCACAACTCCCAATATTCTTTCGAAATCATCAAAATTACGTGGTGCTAAGCCTATGTTAGTGATAGATAAAGCTACTGGAAAACAAAAAATTATTATGTCGAAACCGGAACCCGTTGTCAAAGAAGTTAAACAACCCACCACAACTCTTATACAGACTGTTCCACAAGGCGGAGGTAAAGCAGAGAAGTTCATTATTTTGCCTACACCTACTTCGCCTCGACCTCCTACTCGGACACAAAAAATAGTAATAGATCCTCAAACAGGTAAAGCTCATGTGCTTGTTGGAAAGGGCCCCGAGATGACTTTAGGCGTTTCCGAAAATAAAACTGTGTCAGCGAAATTAATACCATCGTCATCGGATAACAACACCCCTGGCAATACTGTAATGATCATAACAAATTCTCAAGGCGGACAGTCGAAAATTATCTTAACACCGGAGCACGAAAAGATTTTGTTTCCCAATAAAACGAATGTGTCACAATTAAAATCAGTAACTCATCGTATAAGTACGAATTCGGTGATTCAACAAAAATCGGTCGTTTCAACGGTAACTTCTGCTTTAAAAGGACAAACTAGAATTGTGCCCAAACAGAAAAATACAATTATTACATCTAAAGGTCAGCTGATAGTTGGGGGACGTGTTACTACCACAACGCAAAATATTGCCCCAATGCCGGAAATACGTCCAGCCTTGAAGCGTATAGTTCCGGCTGAGCCTAAGAAAATTATACAGACAATTCAAAAAGACGCACCGGAGCCAATAATATTTTTCCAACGCAAATCTGGTGCAGTTATGCAATTGACACCAGCACAGTTTGAACATTTACAAAGAACAGGTCAGCTAATACATAAAACAGGCCATGCTCAAGAAAATAAGATAGTTATTCAAAAATCTATAACTGTTCCCACTAGTGAACCAGTAACAATAAATACACCGAAGCAAAGAGCGAGGAAAGGAACAATTGATTCCCTGACGCCTATGAAAAAGGCTAAACAGGAAGTGCCCATAGCGCCTGCTCCTGGGCCTGCTTCACCAATGCCGGCTTTAACTTCTTTATCGCACACGATTTCAGCGTCCCTACCAACTGTCCCAAGCTCAACTTCTATAGCGTCAGCGTCTAACTACCCCGATTTAGAAAACTTCGAAGAGCTTTTGCCTTCTACAGCAATCGCACGACAGCCAGAATCAGTGTTAATACAACCCGAACAGCCTGTTGCGCCACCTCAGGCAGCGATCTCCGACGGTCAACTGCTGGCAGTCCCCGGAGAACATTTCGGAGGATTACCTGGTTCATTCTATCTCTGTGTGGAGGACAATGGCAATTATACGATAGTGGATAATCGACCATTAATGTTAGAAAATAATCAACTTGTTCCTATGGCAGAACCTGTACCCGTTATAGCGCCACAACCTGAGCGAAGGGACATTTTAGAGGCAGCACTCGCCAATAGTGATGTATTTCATGCTGAGACCGCCCGTGATGAGGCTCCAGATTTCAGAGACTTAAATGCAAATGTTTCGGTTCATTGTCGGGTTTCGGAAACGAGCACCACTCTGAACCAACCAATAATGACGCCGGTAGAGGTACCAACGAAGGCGGACGCCGAGCCCGCGGTGCCGTCGAATTTGGAAGACGGTCTCGCAGTGATCGGAGTTACACCACAGACTGTACCTACGTCGCTTGAATTGCCTATTACGGTGACCGACCCACGAATAGCCCCTAAAACAACGAATCCGCTGACCAATAACAATTACGGTACGTCACTGCTACCATCACCGAATACGGACATGACTTTTGTATCTACCGAAGAAGTGGAGGTGCCAGTAGGTGGGCCTATCTCCATGCCGCTTTTGACCGATGAAGAGTCAGTCGGTAAGTCCATGCCGATATTAACGGACGATGTAACGGAGAGAACTGTGTCTTCAATAGAATCTACGGTTGGGTCGCCGTCGTCGGTTGAAGTAAGGGAATCAGAAACAGAAGACAGCAGTCAGTGGTCGCAGCGGCTGCTAACGCCCGGGTCCGACACGTCGGAAACATCCTCCGAAATCCCGCTACAACCAGCCATAAAGCTTTCTGTGAATGATCTATCTCATAGCGATTAAATTCGAGCCATCCAATAATATGTCAACCTTATGATGTAATGCCGTGCATTATTTTATTTATACGACGATTTATTTCAGGATTTTGTGCGAAACTTATTTATTAATTACGTATAATCGTTTATAATTATTACAGAATGTGCAATAGGTTAAGTTATACTGTTATCATTTTGTAGCACACGATCATATCTATTTATAACTATGTTATACCTAACTCACAGGGGAGCGATTTTTACCGACTTCGAAAAGGAAGAGTCTAAAAAAGAATTCGACTATATGTTTTTTTATGTGTGTTACCTCATAACTTTTTTCGAAGTAAACCGATTTTGATGTTTCTTTTTTCATTTGAAAGATGTTGCTTCGCATGTGGTCCCATATAAATTTGATCAAGGTCTAACCAGTAGTTTTTTTTTTTAATTTTACCAATTGTATAATGGGCTATTTTGTTGCTGATATAATTTGTATTGTTGCGTCTCCCACACTCAGTGCTAGTTGCACGTTCTGAACGTGCAATAGAATTTCGAAATGTAGTGTACATATATATGTCTATACAGCGATGTTAAATAAACTCATCGATCTTAACACATATTCAGTCTGATGTCTTCAAGTAAGTAAATTTGATGCATTACATAGGGCATAGTAGTATTAGGTTAAGAATTTATGAATGTAAATTTAAATTGAATTATGATATTGTTGGATCGTATGTGTAATATATGAAAGTTTAGGTATATTGTAATATTTTTTATAACGTTTAGGAAACATTGAGATATTAAGATTATGTGTACAATTACACAGATGTGTACATGAAATAAAATTGTGCTACTAAGTTACGTATCGGCATTTTATATGTTCAGTTGTGGTTTGGCAGTTTTTTGTCATTTAGAGTTAACTTTACTTCAGTTATCTGAATTAAGCTGAATGTAACATTATATCAATGTAGTTTTATTGTAAGTACAATATTGTTGAAGTAATATGTCAAAGGCACATAAAGGTTTGAGTTCGGGTGATCTATGTTCGGAAATAGGTCACATAACGAGAGAGGAGTCTTTTAGTAATAACTTCTGTGTAGTTGAAAGTTTTAATAAAGAAACTTTATTCAATATAATATTTTTATTTCCTTTTAATAACTTATGTCTATGTGAAACAAAAATTTTGCGTGTAACAATCCGTTTTGTTGTTTACTAAATGTGAAATACGGATAGATATCAGTGTCAGTATATTCATTTCTTACATTCGGGACTATTTGATACTGTACAATGTACATAACATTAGATTATTTAAAAAGAAAAATGCTATAAGTATTGTATTATCCTAAACACTACGTAACTACAAACTACGGTAACAATATTTCATTTATAAATTCGTTATATGTTAACAGTTGTGTGTAACAACAGAATTGAAATGATCACTTAAACCTATAATACTTTATCAAATAAAACATGAAACTCCGTTTCTGTGTGTTTGATGATTTCAAGGAAAAAATAAGTTACAAGTTACGACAATTTAATTACAGCCACTTGATTTATCTAGAAGTAGCGCTTGTGCTTTTATTTATTGCATAAATCAGAATCATTTTTATTTCATATAAAAATATTGTACACGTTGATTAATACATTACAGTACATAGTAGTATACAGTCGTACATTAATCTTACGATCTATCCACAATACTTGCTCAATGATGACGTTGATGATTACAACAAAATATTCATCTATGTGGTCTTTAATTTAAATTCAAAGAGAAAAAAAATCTTGTCTATTCCATTTTAATAATGTTCCACTTGAGTACTGTGTGTAGTATCATTATCATGTATATACTTTTTTACTATGGTAAGTCAGTGCTGAACTACTATCCCACCCGATGGTAAGTGCTGATGTAGCCAAAGATGTTAAAGCGCACTGACTTAGCTTAAAATATAATATGTAATCTATGTAAAAATATGTATTTAAAACAACGACAATGTTGCCAGTATAATCTGTACAATGGCGTAATAAAAATATTAAAGTTGTTTATGGAAAAATGGCGGGACGATTGTGTGTAGTAGATAAGATCTACTGCAGAGCTTGTCTGGTGGTGTTGGGCAGGAAGAGGCACATGAGGCCGCCGCCGGCGAGCAGCACGGCCACGATGAAGGTGGGCGCGGGGCAGTAGGTGTCCAGCAGCGCCGCGATCACCACGTTGCCGATGATGCCGCCCAGCCGCGCCGCCACCATCGACACCGCCACGCCCGTCGCGCTACCCACACATGTTTCAAATTACAAATAAGAATAACTTAACAAATTAAACGCCAACTTTCAGGACGCAGTAAATCCTATGGAACCGACTAAGACAGGATTAGTATAGGGCTTGTGATGTGATAAGTCACCTCAACTAAATTTTAATAACACTGTTAAAACAAACTTCCACTGCGAACTGAACTATGTGAAAACTAGGTCCAGTGAACTAAGCTAAGCTAAACTGGAAAATCATTGCATGTCCACCGAAAAATGAACTAAAACAAACAACATTAAGCTAAAAGCGCCAGAGGAGTAAGGTAATGAAGTGAGAGGTGCTTAGCTTAGTTCGCGCAATTTCGGATTGGCCTGCACAACTAAATTTGACTTAGTTCGATATTTTACCTGACTTAGCTGGCGTAGCTTTCGGTGGACGCACATGTATGACAAACTAGCTCAACTAAGATAAACTAAGTTAGTTTAGTTCGTGGTGGACGTTCGGCTTTATTGTTTTTTGATCGTGATGTTTATCCATTCGAAAACCGAATCGTATCTCCAGAGACTAGTAATAGAAAGCACCATAATTAGTGCAAGAGTATCAGTTGTGGCTCTCATTAACACGTTAACCCAGTGGTCATATTGATTCATAATCAATCTATGCAACCTTAAAAGCTAATCTTTTAATTTTAAAAATTTATATCGTGTAATAGATTTAGATGGACTAAAATAAACCATGGTAGACAAAACGTCGTTTTTGATAGAATAGATGTATGAATAAATAGTTAATTATAATACTAAAATGCCTATAGAATGAAGTAGATGGCGCTAATACAAAGCGATTTTACTCAAAAGAAAATCGCCCCCTTACAACTAAAACCGATTATCTGACAAATTTTGTGAAAATGAGTTATTAACACCAATCGATAGGGAATGTCAAGCTACATCTACTGATAAAACCCGTTTTCTGATACGACGCATAGTTTAGAACATAAAGATAGTGAAAACCTATTAAATTACAATTATTTGCAAAAATTCTACATAAAAAAACGACTAACCTATTGTAATGTAAACTTTTTTAAATATCATCCAAGTAAAACTGCGTTTCGTTTTGTAATTTATTTTTGCTGTAGAAATTTACGAATAAACTTAACCAATGATTACAACTAAAACAAAGTAAATAGTTTTAGTTGGTTTCTACATACTGAGACCTTAAGACAGTTCTGTGAATTTATTCAGCTCCAGTTTGTTATCCCACTTAAGTCATTTTTACCAGACAATATTAAGACTAATATTTATAACTTGAATACAATTAAAACCGATTATATAGGATTATTTATAAGATAAAGCTCCTCGTGGACGTAAAGAATCCCCAAATAAAACACCACCTGAAAAAATAGAGAAATCAAAAGCCATATAGCTTCTTTCCCGATAATGCAAAGTCACTACACTAGGAAGCAATCGAAACACAAATACGTGTGGTTGTGCTGGACTTTCCTTAGCTAAGATGTATTCTTGGTATGTTAATCAATGCGAAGAACGTAATACAGAACCAGTGTCAGAAATAACTTATAGAAGAATTTTTTTCTAAGGAGTTTTCTTGAACTTTTTCGTTCCTAAGAAATACCAATGTCTTGTCTGTACTAAATACAATCGTGCAAACGCAGATTAAAAAGCAATCTTAGTACAAAATTATGAGGATCACATAGAAAAGAAACAAGCATGCAATACTAAAAAGGTCAAGGATAAGGAGAGAGCAGAAAAAGAACTAAACTTTTTACCAGCAACATTTGATCTTCAAGCTATTTTACAAATTCCGAGTACTGAGGTGGGCCTTCTCTATTCTACCAGAAAGTTGACTGTTTATAACTTAACCTTATATGAAAGCGCTCTGCCAAACGAAGCATATTGCTTCGTATGAACAGAGGTACACGGCAAAAAAGGTAGTTCGGAAGTTGGCACTATTCTAGCCCATTATTAAAAAACTGCATTCCAGAAAATGTAACAAAGGTTAGTTTGTTCTCCGATACATGCGGAGGACAAAACCGAAATCAGTTCATAGCCGCTTTACTCTTGTGGGATCACAGCAAGCAATTACAGATTATTGAGCACAAGTTTTTGGAGTCTGGCCATCCTTACATGGATGCCGACTCAAAGCATAGTTCAATTGAATCGAAAAAACATCGTGACGTGTATTCTTTATCGGACTGGATCAATATATCCAAAGATGCTCGATCAAAAGACACGTATTAAAACGGCAACAAGAAGGTGAAGAAAAGCAAATACAACGTAAAACAGTTCACGTATTCTGAATTCAAAGATCTGAAATTATTTGCAAGCAGTATAATTTTGAACAAGACAACAAATACGGAAGGTCAGAGAATTCAATGGCTTAAGATAAAAAGGATGAAATACTTAAAAGGTGATAGAAACATATACTATACATACTACGATATGTCAACCAATTTCAAGACAATTAACGTCACTTGCTCAGGAGCACATCCAAATACGTCTGCAACTACTGTGGTTACTTTGACCCATAGATATCTACATCTATCCTCAATAAAGACTCAAGATGCAGATGCGTTGTCAACCGTGAGGACTAAGATGGTATGCCTCTTTGCCAGTAAAAGGGGTCTCCGGTTCTCTACACTCACCATACGAAACACAGCAGCGTTAAGCTGCTATTTTACGCTGGTTTTCTGTGAGAGCGTGGTCTTTCCCCGGTCGAGCCGACCCATTCGTGCTACAACTATACTACTAATATAGCTGCAGCATGGCTCTACCACGTAAGAAAGCTGTGAGTTCATATTTCCTTCTTTGTAACAGCTGTACAACAAAACCATTGCCCAATTGTAGCCAAAAAGAAAGATTTATTAAATCAATGCTAAAAGGGTGTTATACATGAAGAGTACCATGGCTGGTTTCGGTCTTTGGCTACAGATAACAGAACTGTTGACCGTTTACCTGAAGCAGCAATTTCTGAAGAGTCTGATTTATCTGACAATGAGTAGTACTTTCACAGAAAATTAAGAAGAAAAAGTTCTCCTACGGTTATTTCAGTATTATTTTAGTTTTAAGATTTAAGTAGTCGGGATTTTCTACTTAGCATAATAAAGATGTTTCGTGATTTAATTCCTGCTTTAATTATTTTACCTTGTTTCTTTCGGTAAATAATAGTGCGTTGATATTATTATTTCTATTAAAACACACACAAAAGTACAAAACTATTGCTAATAATTGGAATTCATTCCGTAAATTTGAAAGTTTATACAAGTAAAACCAACTAAGTATTCCAAAATCGTCCATTTTAACCGGATTCTTAGTGTTTACATATTCTAACATTCTTTGAATTATAGTTATTGCAGTAGAGAATCTGAAAAACTATCAATATTTACAATTAATGCGATACTTTATAAAAAAATAACAGATTAATAATATTTGTGATATACAGGTAAAACTGATTAAGTGACTTCCCTTGTCAGCATTTTTTGTATTTTTTAGTAATTTCCAGTAGGTTTTTTTAAGTTATTCATATTTAAATCCAAAAACAGTTTGTCTTTGTTTTATAATTAACTCTTCAATCACAAGGATAACTAAATTTTAATACTTATTTATAGTGTCAAACTTTTAAATTGCGGTACTATAAAGTTAGGTTCATGTCAGATAATCGGTTTTAGTTGTAAGGGGGCGAAATATTCTTCATTTATTACCTACACAAAAATTTAATCTAAAAATAAGGATTGTAACATTTATTTGCTGTAAAATTAAACTTTATCTTGTATTTTATGCTGTACTTGTGGTTGAAAATTATCATTATCATATTAAATAAATCATTTGTCGTGAAATATTTTTATTTTGTATTTCATTTCATCTTTGAAGGTTTCACTTCTACCGCGTGTGAACTGCATCAATGTTTTTTTTTTACTTTTAAATTTATTTCACTACATCGACATTGGCATTTTATAAGAGTATGTATTAGAAAATGTGGATAAAATGTAGTGATTATATACTCTGAATGATATTTTATGGGTTAATTTAAGTACTATTAAATACAAAAATGCATGTATGTACATTCAAGTAGTTATAGTGAGGAAGGCAGGAGAAACACAACAGTAACTTACCGTAAATTGGTGGGGAATACTTCAGTGATGAGGCAGTCGAGTGAAGCGTTACCGCAGGATATGACAGAGCTGAAGATTGCGCTCACAATCAAGTTGTTTGTCTTGTTGTACACGAAGTACATCGCTGCCGAGCAGAAACCCGCCGAGAACGTCGCAAATACTGTGAATTGATGGTTGTATCGATAAATGAAAAGTTGTAATTTAATCATTTTGAATTATAGGTAGTTGTCTCGCTTTTGAAATCTTTTTGTCAGCGAACTGTCTACTGAATTGTGAGTTTATAAATGACCTAGTTGTTCCTCGCGACTTCGCCCGCGTGTAATTTAGTAGTTTCAATTGAAATATCAATTATTTTTCTGAAATAAAAGTAGCATAAGTTACTCCTTATAACATCAGTTATCTGCCAGTGAATGTCCGTCAAATCGGTCCGGCCATTTCGGAGATTAGCCGAAACAAACAAACAGACAGACAAACACAAATATTTTAAAAATTTTGTTTTTGTTATAACTAACGTATATACTTTCATATGAATTTAGGAAAAAGCTGTTATTTTGACATTACAAACATACACTTCAATTTTATTTATTTGTATAGATATAGCATTGGCTCAACTGATCGTATTAATTCATCCATTCTTTTTAGTTTATTAAAAGTACACTGCTGAACATATTTTTTTTATTTTGCCATAGTTGCCACGCGTGGCGGGTTAGCACCGCAGTTTTTTTTATTATGAGTTATCAGGAAGGTGCTGTTGCCTACCTCCTCTTTTTCCCTCTGCCGCTTCTTAGGACAAACGATTGTAGTGAACATTCTTACGCCACTCTTTTACAATCACTAAGATTTAAGAATATAAAGGGACTTTTAATATCTTAACAAACTCACTCAATTACCGAACTGCTACAGAAAATATTTGTGCAAAAACAACCATTTGTAGATTTTTTATTAGGATATGAATATAGAAGACATCTAAGAAGAACTTCCTGCCGAGCAGTTATTCGACGGTATCACCACGTGCTATTCGTGCTATAGAGTACTGACCTAAGAAGAACTTCCTACCGATCACAGTTATTCGACGGTATCACCACGTGCTATTCGTGCTATAGAGTACTGACCTAAGAAGAACTTCCTACCGATCACAGTTATTCGACGGTATCACTACGTGCTACTCGTGCTATAGAGCACTGACCTAAGAAGAACTTCCTGCCGAGCACAGTTATTCGATGGTATCACTACGTGCTACTCGTGCTATGGAGCACTGATCTAAGAAGAACTTCCTGCCGATCACAGTTATTCGATGGTATAACTACGTGGTACTGCTACTATAGAAGATTCACCTAAGAAGAACTACCTGCCGAGCACAGTTATTGGACGGTATGATTACGTGCTAGTACTATAGAGCACTGACCTAAGAAGAACTTCCTGCCGAGGCGGTCCATGCCGAGCACGGCGAATATGTTGGAGGGTATGGCGGCGGCGACGGTGATGAGCGAGTCCATGAAGACGTCGGAGCGGATGTGCGCGTCGCAGAGCGCGCCGGCCGAGTGCGAGCCGCGCTGCGTCACGTACGCCGTCACCGCGCAGATGTCCGCCTCCGCGCCGCCGCTCGCGCGCGACCACTCGTCGAACCGGTTGAACATCTCCGGGAACCACATCATCAGCCCGTAGTACCTGAGGGTCACCGGCATTTCCAAAATGTTTTGAGGGCCAAATTATCACGACTTTTGTTTTTGAAGTGAATTGCAGTGATAACTTCTTTTGGCACGTTAGGCACTTTTGGGATGAGGAAAAATCACTGAACTCGCGTGACCGTCACGTTCAGATACATATATACAGATGTGTGTGTACTGATATATACAGGGTTATTTTGCAATCACCGGCCAAATATGCAGAAAAGGTTCAGAATAAGTAATATAGGCAATGGGTGAAGAAAAATTAATTTAAAAAAAATCTCAAACATTCTGTCCTTTCTATCTAAAGGCTTGTTTTCACTTTGATTAGCGCGAGTGCAAGTGATTAGTAATTGCGGTTGATTAGTGCTGGTGTGTAGTATAAATAGTGTCCAATTCTGTTTAGTGGCTGTGTTTAGTAAATTCAGTTGTTAGCAGTCGACCAGGAAGTATGGACATTTTTTTAACAGAAAAGAGCGTCCGACGCTAAACGCTAAACACTTAGCACTGCTGTCCAAACGTGTTTAGTGGCAGGCATGCTGCGAGTGAGGGGAAAGGAAGGGCGCGTGAAGCGTGACACTCGCAGTCCACTCTCAAAAAAATAGAACACGCTTCTAATCACTTTACTACACAGGTTATTAATCACTAGTACTAATCAATCGCTGTCCACACGTGTTTATTCCTAAACACTAAGCACTAATCACTAATCAAGGTGGAAACAGGCCTTAAAACGCCTACTATTTTACTACGCACGCACACTTTCGTATTTGTCGCTCTCGCTCGGTCGGCAAAAACAGAGGAGCGCGCGTACGCGTAGTATATATATATATATAAATCACATTCAATTTGGGATAATTTCCAATAAAACCTTATTTACTCGTATTTTCAAAAATTGCAATAACGGTATATCGTTACTTAAACTCTGAAAATATACCCTATATATATATACAGAGTAATTTTTCAGAGTAGCCAAATTACATTACGTAATAACACTTCGCGCTATTAGGCAGTGTTCAATTTATTGGTGTTCTGCAAGGGAAATTAAAAATTCTATAGATTACCAAATCAAAAACATAATACAACTTTGTATATTATTTGTAAATATATTTTGGATGCAAGGAACATTTCTATATGAATGGTTGTTCTGTATGGTAGTCTATCTAAGTAAAATTTTGTCGCTAACTAGAAATGCATGCATCGTTTTCAAGTTTGAAGAAAGATCTAATAATAGCATCAAACGATAAATGGATATAATCACTCACCCAATGTGGAATGTAAAGTTGATTGTGATGGAGATCGTAGTGAACTTGAGTATAGGCGGCACAAACAACTGTTTGCTGTTCTCCATGATGTCGCTTAACATTCTTCTCATCTTCGACTTAGGTTCCTTCTCTTCCAGCTGCTTCTCCGGCTTCGCGCGAACTGGCACGTCGACTAAAAGCTGTTTCACTGGGTACTCTTCTTTACTTCGTCCGGTATTCATGAGGTATATGCCTCGGAATACTTCTAATGCCGCCTCGTGACGACCGGTTGAGATTAGGAATTTAGGCGATTCGGGCAAAAGGAACAAAAGGGCAGCTACTAAGAAAGATGGGAGGGACATCACTAGTAAGAAGATTCTCCAGGAGTTGTAAACGAAACCGCCCGTTGTTCCACCGATTTCTAGAAAGAAAAAAAAGCTTAGTTTATTTATGTACCTTGTAAGTGACATCATCTGTTAATGGGTAAGAATTTCATAAGATAAATAGATACACATTGGTACATGTGTGTAAACGTGTTAGCTAAAAGCGTTTCGTTAATTTGTGTTCTAAAACATGTCCTTTTCTATTAAAAAAATTAAGAAAAATATTCAACAAATGACTTTCATTTGATCACAAAAATGTATGATGTTATTAAGAAAAAAATCATGCTTTTCTATTTCGAATTCAAGACGGAATGGCGCAGTTGGTTAACAATGAGTTGCAGCGCTCGGGCCGCGGCGCGGGTTCGAATCCCGCACGGAACAAGTATTTGTATGGCCTACATGTAATTTTTCCGGGTCTGGATGTTTGTCCTTGTGAAATTTATGTATGTTAACAACCTCCACGATACAGGAGAAAATCCTAGAGTGGAGGTGACGTTTTTTTTAAAATAAGTAATAACAACAAAATAGGAATTATTCTATTGTGTTCAATAATTAAAGACTCACCGCTAGGTATAATAACCCATGCAAGCCCAGCGACAAACAGGTTGCCTAGTGTCCAAAAGGCGGCCATGAAACTCAACATGGCGCCACGCTTCTTCTTAGGTTGGAACTCTGCGAAGTACGACCAGATCACAGGACCTGATCCACCTAGGCTGTAATGTTTTACAATTATAAATAAGATATTATATTTTTTTTATAGGATAGGGTGACAAACGAGCACACAGTCCACCTGATGGTAAGTGGTTACTGTGACCCATAGACATCTACATCTATCATCAATAAAGACTCAAGATGCAGATGCGTTGTCACCTGTGAGGACTAAGATGGAATGCCTCTTTGCCAGTAAAAAGGGTCTCCGGTTCTCTACACTCACTATACGAAACACAGCAGCGTGAAGCTGCTATTTTACGCTGGTTTTCTGTGATGTTACTCGCATGATTCTAATTATATTTTACTATACAGGTTTATTTTGCAATAACCGGCCAAATTTGCAGAGCAGAATAAGTAATATAGGCAAATGGTGAACAAAGATTAATTTAAAAATCTCAAACATTCTGTCCATAGATTAATAATAAGTGCCAGAGCGCGCGATGACTTATCATTAATCTATGATTCTTTCCTTTTTATCTTTTAAATTAGGCTCAGAAGGGTTAGAACCCAGAGCCGTAAAGTCAGTTTAATAAAAAAAATATCTTTTAAATTCAAAATGCATGGTAATGCATTATTTTAACTGATTTTACTGCGTACGCACACATTCGTAAGTGTCGATCGTTAGGCATAAACGTTGTTGCCCATAAATCACATTCAATTTGGCATAATTTCAAGTAAAAGTACATGCCTATTTACTCATATTTTAAAAACATGCCATAGCGGTATAACATTATTTATATATTTGAACTTAGGCTTGAAATTTGGCTATTCCTTGAATAATAACTCTGTATAAGGGAGCCCTAGAAGACTGCAATGAAGTGAACGATATGAATGACAAGCTCGTGGAAACTGTCCATGCGGTCGGAGCTAAGTTCTGCAAGACCCGCCGCAGAAGAACACAAAAACTCTCCGATCACACTCTTAATCTCATGGCTGTTAGACGGGAGATGAAGCTACATTCTTCAACAGACTTGACAGCATACAGGCATCTGAACAGACAGATCTCCAAATGCATGCGGCGGGACTTACGCAACTTCAATACAGCTCGTATTGAAGAAGCGATAGAGCGGAACCAAGGCTCCAAAGTCTTTGCCAGAGATCTGTCTGCCAGAAAGAGCCAACTGTCAAAGCTGAAGACGGAATGTGGCAGCATCGTTTCCGGGACACCTGAGATTTTGAGTGAGATTGAGAGGTTCTACGGGCAGCTGTACACGTCATTGTTGGAGCCACATGTAAGTGTGAGTAACGATCCAAGAGCGAGTCTTATCCGACACTATTCCGAAGATATCCCGGACGTCAGTCTGAGCGAGATTAGAATGGCTCTCCAGCACCTTAAAAACGGTAAGGCCCCAGGCGAGGATGGAATTACAGCGGAGCTTCTGAAAGCGGGTGGAAGACCGGTACTTGAAGTCCCTCAGAAGCTCTTTAATTCCGTCCTCCATGGTGGCATTACACCGGAGGCGTGGAGCAGAAGTGCGGTGCTCTTGTTCTTCAAGAAAGGTGACAACGCTCTCTTGAAGAACTACAGACCGATTTCCCTTCTGAGCCGCGTCTACGTGCTGTTTTCGAGAGTCATTACGAATCGTCTCGCGCGCAGACTTGACGACTTCCAGCCTCCCGAACAAGCCGGTTTCCGAAAGGGCTTTAGCACCATAGACCACATACATACCCTTCGGCAAGTTGTACAGAAGTCCGAAGAGTACAATTTGCCACTATGTCTGGCGTATGTGGACTATGAGAAAGCCTTTGATTCCGTCGAAATTTGGGCGGTGCTGCAGTCCCTTCAGCGGTGCCAAGTTGACTGTCGGTATATCGAAGTGTTGAAGTGCTTGTACAGTAGGGCTACGATGGCTATCCGAGTACAGAACCAGAGTACGAAACCTATCCAATTGCAGAGAGGTGTAAGACAGGGTGACGTCATATCCCCGAAACTCTTCACCGCTGCATTGGAAGACGTTTTCAAGCTTCTGGACTGGAAAGGATACGGTATCAACATCAACGGCGAGTACATCACTCACATTCGATTTGCCGACGATATAGTCCTTATGGCAGAATCGCTGGAGGGCCTAAGCACTATGCTCAATGACCTCAATAGTGTTTCCCAACGGATAGGTCTTAAGATGAACATGGACAAAACAAAGATCATGTTTAATGTCCATGTCACACCTATGCCGGTAGTTGTTGGGAGCACTAAGCTCGAAGTTGTTGACGAGTATGTTTACCTGGGACAAATAATCCGACTAGGTAAGTCCAACTTCGACCGAGAGGTCAATCGACGGATTCAACTCGGCTGGGCAGCGTTCGGAAAGCTACGACACATCTTCTCGTCAGACATACCTCAAAACCTTAAAACGAAATTGTACAACCAGTGCGTGTTGCCAGTGATGACTTACGGAACTGAGACGTGGTCCTTCACTGCTGGCCGTATGAGGAAGCTCAAGGTCGCTCAGCGAGCTATGGAGAGGGCTATGCTCGGAGTTTCTCTGCGTGATAAACTTAGGAATGAGGATATCCGCAGTAGAACCAGAATAACCGACATAGCCCAACGGATTAGTAAGCTGAAGTGGCAGTGGGCCGGCCATATAGCTCGAAGAACCGACAACCGATGGGGAAGAAAGGTTCTCGAGTGGCAGCCTCGTACCGGTAGGCGAAGTGTAGGGCGTCCCCCCACGAGATGGAGTGACGACCTGGTAAGACATGCAGGAAGTCGATGGATGCAGGTGGCTCAGGACCGTGCTTTGTGGCATTCTTTGGGGGAGGCCTATGTTTAGCAGTGGACTTGTGAAGGGCTGTAATGATGATGAATGATAAGGGAGCCCAGAGCCATTGCTGTGTTGTTAAAGTGGAATAAATGCATACCACAAAGAGGGGTTCCAAACAAAATATTGAAGTCTACAAGTGGCCACATAAACTGCGAGACTGCAAACTGCTTTCATAAATTCATTTGCCAAGCAGTACGACGAAAAAAAAATTGTCAATTTTTTAAACTAATTAGAAACTTAGCAGCGGTCTTTTATAGATAGATGGTGTTTTTGTTTTAAACAAATTAGCACTAAATCCGTCATATTGCTTTTTTATACTTGTTTGACATCAGCAAGTGGTGAGATAGACAATGATGGTCAAGCACACTAACTAAGCTTAGCAAAAACCTATTCATTCTTGCCTTGGATATAATGTAACCGGATGGGGAGACAGATACTAGCAAACTATATTACTCATTTGCTTTGAGCATTACGAAAGATGAAGCAAATGACGTCCTTTTCTGCCTGTGTTAGTGCGTGTATTTCTATGTTCCGGTTTAAAGGCATTATAATTACAGGCATTTTTATAGGATAGGGTGACAAACGAGCACACACTCCACCTGATGGTAAGTGTTTGCTGTGACCCGTAGACATATACAACAAAGAATCAAAATGAAGATGCGTCGTCACCCGTGAGGACTAAGATGGAATGCCTCTTTTCCAGTAAAAAGGGTCTCCGGTTCTCTAAACTCACCATACGAAACACAGCAGTGTCAAGCTGCCATTTTACGCTGGTATTCTGTGAGAGCGAGGTCCTTCCCCGGTCGAGCCGACCCATTCGTGCTACAACTATACTACTAATATAGCTGCAGCATGGATCTACCACGTACAAAAACGGCTCACGGCTGTGAGGCATCCCATCACATCTGTAGCTTTCTTTGTTTGAAGACGGCCGAAATTATCCATGGAGTGCAGTAATCACTTACAATCAGGTGGAATATAAGTTCGTTTTCGCTGTAACGTTCCAATAATGGTGAAGTAAATCTGGCTACCAATAATATGATGACGGTGAGAGATACTCACGCGGCGCCGTTAATGAAGCGAAACAGCATAAAGAGCTCGTAGTTCTGGCTGAAGGAGGAGGCAACAATGGCGAGCCCGTTGACCACGGAGATGGCGATGAGCACGCGCTTGCGGCCCACGGAGTCCGCCACCGAGCCCCACGCGTACGCGCCCACCATCATCCCGATGAATATTATACTGTTTAGCCATCCCTGGGTGATCACAATTGTCAATTGTCTTATTCTTTAGTTTTAACCGTCATAGAAGAAGGAGATTTTCAATTTGACTGTATATTTTTACCCAATTGCCCTAGAAAGCTAGATTTGTATCCTCACAATGTTTTTTGACACGTTTTTTGACACGGCGTGGCGGTTATAGCAGCTATGGCGTGATTGCGGATCAGGAAGAATTTCAAATGATTGCAAATCATACCAATGTGAACTTGAGAATAAACTCGGTTTCGAATCACAAACACTGTTCAAAAGGTCTTAAAACTAAATCTTAGTTGCAATAGAAATAAAACTTTTTATGATGGGAATTAAGTTTAAAAGTGCAAAGCAATAAAAAAAATCCTGCTCCACGACTGTGCTTTATTAGATAATCAGTGGAGGAATCCCATGTTCAGCAGTGGATTTATGAAAGGCTGTGATGAATAAATAAATTACAGATTTTTATTTTTGAGTCAGGGAAATATGGTCAGAGCCATTTAGCCAGAGGTAGCTTATAGTAGCGGCGTCAGGAAATCCACTAGCCCATAATATCATCCCATGGGTGTCGTCAAAAGTACATAGGGAAACTGAAACAGAACTTATACGGCATGGATTACGTCCATGTTATACGGTTAAAACATTTAAATGAATGTAATCAGTTTTAATTGTGTAACGTGGGGCTTTAGCTGAATAAATTCACAGAATTGTCTAAAGGCTCAGTATGTAGAAACCATTAAAACTAAAACAATTAACTCTGTTTTAGTTTTCTCATGAAAAATATTCATACCTAGGTACATTTCTATATCTAAAAGAAATTATATCTAAAAAGTTAACATTACAATGACATAATATTTTTAATGCAGAATTTTTGCAAATAATTGCATAGAATAGAATAAAATAATTTTTTATTTAATATAGATCACATGTGTTCTTATTGAAAGTCATTTTTTACTTTACCACTGGTTCGAAATAAAAAACTTCTGCCCTGGGAAGAACCAGCAAGAAACCCAGCGGGACTTTTTTTTAAAGTAAATTAATGGTTGTACAAACTATTTACGAAATTTATTTTAGAAACGGCTTGGAAGCGACTACCTCATTTCCAGAGGTTATTATTAGCCATGTATTCATTTATATTATAATAAACCTTTTTATACAGTTTCAGCTTATAATACATTTAAACTTGGTAATAGAAAGAGCCTGTACACTTTCCGGGACCTTGTTGTAATAGCGTATATTGCCCCAAGAATGAATTACTATGTGGAGTCGAGAAACTGGTATCACTAGCTTGTGTTTGGTCCTAATGTTTACAGAATGTATATCACTCTTTTTACTAAAACTACTTTTGTTTTTATGAACATACATTGAATTTTCGTAAATATACTGAGGGGCCAAAGTTAATATATTTATTTCTTTTACGGCATAGGTCTGTAAACTTAGTCTGCTTGCTAGTTTGGATATATGGTGGCCCCACTGAAGCTTTGCATCGAGCGTGATGCCAAGAAAAACAGTGGATACAACAGGTCTCAGTTCTTTCCTATTTAAAACACATTCGTACTCAGATTTTTAACATTCGTTGTTGTAAATTTAATACATTTAGTTTTATTTCCGTTTAAATGTAGATTATTAACGTTAAACCAATGCACTAATTTTGATATAGCATTATTCACTTCGTCACATTTAAATGATTGACGTTTAAGTTTAAGAATCAAGGAAGTATCATCAGCAAATAATACTATATCATGATTATCAAATAATATTATAGCATTTTAATGGGTTTTAACTTTCTTTATCTTCTAAACTATGGATCGTATCAGAAAATGGGTATTGCCAGTAGACGTAGCTTGAAATTTACTATCGATTGTGTAAATAACTCATTTTCACCAAAAACTGTCAGATGTTCGGTTTTACCTTTAAGGGGACGTATATACGTAATCGTATAATCTACGCGTTATGTTTACAGTACGAATCTAAATAAGTATTTTTGCTATAATTTACCTCAAAATTTTCCTCGCCACGAAGTATCAACATACCTACTTAGATGACAAAGTTTTTCGAAACTAAATATAATATTATCTAGTGGATGCGGGTAGTAACGACTGTGTAAGAACCATGAAGTAAGAACCTCCGAAGGAGGCGGAGTTATAGTCGAAATAAGAATTTTCAGTTTTTTTGGTTTTTGGCCATTTTGACCCCCTATCAGTGTAATAAGTACTTTTTGTCCCTATTCAACCATGACCCCCATGAAATCCTCCACATGATAGGCTATTCGAACTGAATAGACCTAACCCCCAACTCATTTCTAAAGTCTTTACTTCCAACTATCATTACGGGTTTTTGGTTTTAACTTTCACTTTCTTTATTATATGTATACTCGTATCTACCTACTTAAAGTCAGTAGCTCAGAGGCTACGTATTTGCCTTAAAATTTCATAATAAGCGGTGAAACCGAGTTCGTACCCAGCTGGTGAAATTGTTTGTAAGCAAGTTTAAATGTTGATTCACCACTTAACGTTACCGTTACAGCCTATTAAAAGTCCACTGCTGAAGAAAGGCGTTTTCCATAGATTGCCTCATAAAGGGGATATTTGCCATACTCGCCACGATTGACAGGCGCGATTGGCAACTGCAGATTTTTTATTTAGAAGACGCTGCTGCCCATCCCCTTTGGTATGTTTTCACCTGTTGCATCTTACGACAACGGGACGACTTCGCCCAGTTGTGAAGACAGTGGAGTTATAGAAGACCTACCACACCATTTATTGTATAATGTGTTCGATTTGAGTTTATTAGAAGTAATTTTATAAGGGTCTTAAATTTGAACAGAACTGACATAGGTACATATCATAATATTGCCAACCAAATGGCGATGATGATATGTATAACATCGATGATATATATGTAATGGTAATGATAATAATCAATGTTATATGAGTTAGTGATGTAGGTTAGGGTATGATGGGACTGGCACACGATAAGCGGTAAAAGTCCCTTTAAAAGTTATAGAATTTTAAAAAAAACGGGACGATGTGGGGTAGTGAGCATTCTTACACCGCCACTACACGGTACACATAGACACATTACACATTACCACATGCTCGGTGGTATATGAATATACTAATAAACAAGTCCACTGGTAAATGTAGGTTTTCCCCAAGGAATGCCACAAAACACGATCATGAGTTGCATCCATCGACCTGCTGCATCCATTTTCTTTTCTAAAGCTGAAGTGTTAAACGAACTTAGTCCACATAATGCTGACTAGTTTAGTTCATGGACACCTGCAGCAAACTTCAAACAAAGGAGGATACAGGTGCGTTGTCACCTCTGAGCACTAAGATGGAATGGTCGACACTCTATCTAACGTGCGTATCAGACAACTTCAAAGAAAACTACTAAATACGTGTTTACAATGTTACAGACTATTGAAAACAGAAAAAAAAATATCAAGACATATTAGCTTAAGAATGTGATTTTTTGATAGTTGTTTGTTTAAATAAAATATATTGACTTTAAGCAGCGGTCATTTAGTGTTGGTAAGATGACTATGTGGAGGTATGTTGATGTAACACATTACCGCACTATTGTGTTAATTGTATGTATACAACGACTTGAGTATAGTGCTGCCATTATGTATTTTGCAGTATTTGCCCCGTTTTATTGGCATATTTTGAGTAAATAACTCAATAACTACTGACCTTGATCAAATTCATATGGGACCACACGAGAAGTATCAGCTTTCAAATAAAAAAGAATCATCGAAATCGGTTCACCCAGTAAAAAGTTATGAGGTAACACACATAAAAAAAACATACAGTCGAATTGAGTACCGTCTACGTTTTAGAAGTCTGCAGAAAATACGATAAAATAATATTATAAAAATGCCTTTTTAGCGGGTTAAGAAAATCTTTCCATTTTTTACCGTGGATGTCGTAATATGAGACTATGGGGAATGCCAGAAAGATTGCATGGTTTTCGTTAATTCTATATAAATAAAATTATAGAGGTTTGCAGTTGTGCGCGCATCACGGAAAAACTATTAGATAGATTTCAATTAGGTTTGCTAAGTTTTATTTCTTAGACACTTGGCCCTTATCTAAAACAACATTGTAATCTATACAAATAAATAAAATTGAAGTGTCTGTTTGTAATGTCAAAGTTACAGCTTTTTACTAAATGCATAGGAAAGTATATACGGTACTAATAACAAAAACACAATTTTTAAAGTTATGTCTGTCTGTCTGTGTTTCCGTCTGACTGTCTGTCTGTCTGTTTGTTCCGGCTAATCTCCGAAACGGCTATACCGATTTTTACGGAATTTCCACAGGCAGATAACTGATGTCACAAGGAGTAACTTAGGCTACTTTTATCTATTAACTAATCTGTGCTTTTATTTTAGAAAAAGATTTAGGGTTCCGCGCAAAAAAATTGAAACCCCAAATAACACGCGTTACGGAGAACAGCTAGTTTAATATAAAGTTATTAAGGTTTTAAGAAACAAAGATTTTTATACGAGGTTTTTTAAACGATCAACTGTACGTCGCTTGCTCTCGCGTTACTCATCCAGATAATTTATATATTTTAGCTACAAACGAAGCAACGAATAACATTGTTTACAAAGAAATTTTGTAAGCAAAGTATATTTTGCTTCCTATCTTTTTGATGTTTTTTCCTTCGCACATACGAAAACATTGGTAATATATTGTCGCGGGGGTATCAGCTGTGTCCCTATGTTTTTCTTTTTTCAGTATTAGTTATCAGATTTGAAAACTAGGCCTCAGCTGACAGTGATCTAAATAGGCAATTTTGAGCATTTTGTACTGCTTATAAATATAATTATTGTAATGGTTAATATTTATTTTACTGTAAAAACTCATTGCTATAACCAGAAGAAAAAACAGGTGAGAGCGTTTGTATGCAGAAAAGACCACTCGCATTTCCTCTTAATTAAAATTGCGTTTTAATAAAAACTAAAGTAAAACTTCAAATTTAATTATCTTTTATATACAGTCCTACTCCCCGCGGTATCGTGCCAAGAACGCTGGCTGCGTTTCCTCGCTGAATGGCTATACTTAGCATTTAAGCGGGAAAAGAACCAGCTCTATTATCACGAACAGCGACTACCAGTGGCGGATACAGTTTCATTAGGAATGGATAAGATGCGGTACCTTGAGGATCACCAGCTGATTAATGACCGCCAGTACGGTTTCCGTCTAGATCGCTCAGCTGGTGATCTGGTGGTCGCTGTATCTCATGCATGTCAGTGATATGTTGCAAACCAATAACATTCATTGCTATGCAGAGGACAGCACTGGTGATGCTTTATACACCGGCCGTGCCAATGTTTCTCGGGAAAACGTCGCCGAGTACCGGAACAAACTTGTGTCTGAAGTCGAGACTTTGTTGAACAAAGTCTCAGACTGGGAGCGACTAAATCTAGTCCAGTTTAATCCCCAGAAGACACAAGTTTGCGCGTTTACCTTTAAAAAGAACCCCTTTGTCGTATCTCCTCAGTTTCAAGGCACCCCCTTGTTGCCTCAGCCAGTATCGGAATCCTCGGTGTCGACATATCGAGTGACGTGCAGTCGTGGTCACTTGGAAGAGAAGGCCAAATTGACCTCTAAAAAGCTTGGCGTGCTCAGCAAAGTGGGACAGTATTTCATGCTGGCACACCGCTTACAACTTTACAAGACGCACGTTCGGCCTCACATGGAATACTGTTCCCATTTCTGGGCTTGGGCTACCCAGTACGAACTCCTTTCACTTGACCGCATCCAGTGGAGAGCGGTTCGAATCGTCGACGACCGAGTACTTTCTGATCGGCTTGACTGGGCTTGACTCACTGGCACTGCGTAGAGATGTTGCATATCTTTGCGTATTTTATCGCATCTATCACGGGGTGTGCTCTGAGGAATTGTTCGGACTAATTCCAGCCGCTCAATTTCACCATCGTACATCGCGACAAAACTCACGATACCATCCATATCATCTGAATGATTGCCGGTTCACCACTGTGCGATTTAGAAGAAGTTTACCTCCTCGCACGACTTCTTTGTGGAATTGATTACCACCAGCGATTTTTCCGGACTGATACGACTTAGGGACCGTCAAGAAAAAAGCCTACTCCTTTTTAAAAGGCCGGCAACGCATCTGCAATTTACCTCGTGTTGCAGTTGTTCATGGGCGGCGGTAGTCACTTACCATCAGGTGAGCCGCATGCTCGTTTGCCCACTCTCATATAAAAAAAAACTCCCAAAAAGTTTTTTTTTTAGTTTAGTACGGACCGATAGTCTCTATAGCAAATGACACAAATATGTAGTCATCTCTCAGATACTCACATTTGCGCCACTTAGTCTAAATTGAATGTAAATGTTTTCATAAATTATTTACTATGTTCATGGAAGAGATGAAAGAAAACGTCAAGAGTAAACCTGCGTATCTGGCAGTATAAGCCCCCTGTCAGTTATTACGCAACGGGGAAGTGCAGTTTTTTGTACAAAATCCTCAGAAATGAGAGAATGTCTGCACCCACAAGTTTGATGTTCGTAGAATGTTGTTAAATTTACTTACTTTAGTTTGAGTGGTAAGGTTTAGGTCGCACTGCGCCGAGGGCAGTATGAAAGACATCGAGATGACGTCCATCTCTTCGGAGGTGCTGACAAGGCCGCATACTGCCAGCAGCAGATAGTGAAAGCGTCCATAGCCTGTTAAAATAAAAAAAAATATAACAAAATCATGTAATATGGTTGGTTATATGGCATGTGATTGTAATGCAGGAAATTATAATATCCTTATTTTGAAATATTACATTCTTCATCTTCATCAGACACTAATAGAACACTGTTGTACTTGGGCCTCTCTCATAGTAGGACGGATTTCTTATAAAACCGAAGAAAAACTCTAGCAGGCCAGTTAGTTTAGTTAGTTAGTTTTACCATTTAATCCTCAGGGTTACATCCCGTGCATCCGGTTACATGCCGTCTCTCTTTTTGAAGTTGCCATTTACCGTAAGGTTCAATGTTAGCTTTAATAATAAAAATATGCCACACCGAGAAACCGCTACTACTAGGAGTATGTACTGTGCGTGGTACGGTCATACTGCAGCACGAATGAGTCGGGGAAGGAGCACACGCTCTCACAGAATATCAGCGTACACTAGCAGCATTACAGCAGCTGTGTTTCATATGTTTAGTGACATAGAACTGTCGTGTTCCCAGACCGAATTTCGGTTACACAATCTCAACGGAGAATAGCTATCTGCGCAGCTCATGAACATAGTGTAAGAGTGTGTGTGCAAGCACAGGTTTTCTTACGTGGTAGAGCCATGCTGCAGCTATATTAGTAGTAGATATAGTTGTAGCATAAATGCGTCCGATCGACCGGGGAAGGACCACGGTCTCACAGAATACCAACGTAAAATAGTAGCTCAACGCTGCTGTGTTTCGTATGGTGGCTGGTGAGTGTAGAAAACCGGAGACCCTTTTTACTGGAAATGCGGCATTACATCTTAGTCCTCTCGGGTGACAGGGCAGGTTATTTTGATTCTTTTTTGAGAATAGATGTGGATGTCTATGGGTCACAGCAACCACTTACCATCAGGTGGACTGTGTGCTCGTTTATCACCCTATCCTATAAATAAAAAAAAACGGAGAGAGATCAAGCGCAGGACCAACGGCTTTACGTATTTTCTTAGGCACAGAGGTAAAACACCGCCAGCTTCCTAACTCCGGGCTGCTACGGGGAATTTCTTGATAGAAAAACTCATAGCACTCAATTTTTATTAGGTAAACTGTATGTTCGTTTGCCACCCTTAACTGTATAAAAGAACACTGATTTAAGTGCTCTGGTCTGGTCTTAGAGCACTTAGCTCTGGTTTTGGTTCGTCCGTCCGTCTGACAAGCGTAAAGGTTGCGGTAAATTCTCTATGCTTAGAAACATACATAAACACTCACGCCTGTCACCCATAGGGGCAGGCAGAGACTACGGACTTCCATTTGAAACGATCCTGACACACCTCTCTCGCCTCCTCTACATGTATATCTACGCATACATGCTCGTCGGTTAAGGGTTAATTTACTTTTACTTTTTACTTATGTACTTTTTTTCTCTTCTAAATTTGCTTTTTTATAGAATTAGGGTGACAAACGAGTACACAGTCCACCTGATGGTAAGTGGTTGCTGTGACCCATAGACATCTATATCTATCCTCGATTACGTATCAAAATGTAGATGGGTTGTCACCCCTGAGGACTAAGATGGAATGCCTCGTTTCCAGTAAAAAGGGTCTCCGCTTCTACTTTACGCTGGTATTCTGTGAGAGCGTGGTCCTTCCTCGGTCGAGCCGGCCCATTCGTGCTACAACTATATAATTAATATAGCTGCAGCGTGTCACTCTTTATAGGTATATTTTTATAGTGAGAAAATTAGAAAAAGTTTTTACTGTGCCGTCTTTGTATTCATGGTAACATTTCCAATTATTTTTCACACGACCAAAGATCTTTCCTTTGAAGTTTGGGGGTCGATATTGTATTTTAAAATAATATGTCACCGTTGCACAATCGCGGCCCTCATTCCGAACGTAAACAACTGTCCACTCGTGTACGATACAGATTCTTAGAAGCGGTGGCGTGTTTACTCCGCGGAAGCAAGCCCGCGGAATGCATTGCCAGCGCTCTTCATTCATAAAACTACATTCATTAGAGCCCCTCTTCGTGTTACAGCTTTGTTTACATACAATCACTTCCACGTGTCGTTTATTTACGCAACGGAATGCGCTTTTACTGCCACTCATTAATTTGCGACGCAGTGCGAGCTTAAGTTACTGAGTTTACGACTAAGTACTATAACTTTAGCTAGAAAACGCTCAAAATAAACCTGGTTTCACTTGTATAACATGAGATGATGTTGATTATTTTGCGATAGTTTTATAGTGATTATTGTAGTTATGTGTTGTTTTTGTTATTGACGATCAGATGAGAACTATCATGCTAGTAGATATTTGTCCCACCAAAATATAAATGTGAAAAGGAGGCCAAGGTCAGTAGAAGCAACTTTCAGGGTAATCGGCTTCGATAAAAGAGTTGAGATCACTTTATTGCAGTTGTTTAGAGCATATAAGAATTTACTCTAAGGAAGCTAGAAGTGGCTTAGGTTTTCGATGCGTGAGTCAGTTAGAGAAATAATTTAAAATTTAAAATTTTGTACAACCGACTTCAATAACTCAAAAACTATGTAGCACTAGCTTTAAAATAAAAAAGAATCATCGAAATCGGTTCACACATAAAAAATTATGGGGTAACACACATTAAAAAAGAACATACAGTCGAATTGAGTGCCTCCTCCTGTTTGAAGTCGGTAGAAAATTGCATTTTTCATACCTTAATAACACAAAAACTATATTTAATAGGTTTGTACACTGCAGGTGCGTCGCCTTTTTGAATGTACTTTTATGGTAAAACTATACTAATATTAAGAGTTGCCGTGTCGTAAGGTGTTGGCGTCTACTCTATTTCGACCTTCTGGTGTCGTAATCGTGAGAACATTTATGGGAAATAACAGAAAAATCTAATATTTTTCTATAGAAGGCGATTAGAACACCTAGATTAACGACGAGCAGCAGCGGCAAAGGAACGAGACGTTTGCTACTGTGATTTTCAGTGGACCTGCCAAGTGTGACGTTAAATCAAGTCCTCCCAACAAGCTATAGCCGGGGATGCTCATGTCTAGCAGTGGACTTTTAGGAGCTGATGAAGAACAAAAAGAATGCGAAGAGGAGAAAGTCTGATGTATTATGTAATTAATTAAAAACTTTTGTTCTCTATAGCAAAAGGCTTTTAATTAAATAATCTATATTATTGTAAGAAATAAGTTACCCAAAAAATTTAATTTTACGCACGTTAGTGCGTTTTTTTTATAGGATAAGGGTGGCAAACAAGCACACAGTCCATCTGATGGTAAGTAGTTGCTGTGGCCTATAGACATCTACATCTATCCTCGATTAAGAATCAAAATGCAGAAGCGTTGTCACCCGTGAGGGCTAAGATCCGATCTTAGTCCTCACGGGCCTCGTTTCCAGTAAAAAGAATCTCCGGTTCTCTACACTCACCATACGAAACACAGCAGTGTTAAGCTGCTATTTAACGCTGGTATTCTGTGAGAGCGTGGTCCTTCCCCGGTCGAGCCGACCCATTCGTGCTACAACTATACTAGTAATATAGCTGCAGCATGGCTCTACGACGTATAACGTTTTTATTTATGTGATTTCACAATATCACGTGTAAGATCAAATAAATCGAGCCGGTTTTTAATATATGTAAAATATTTAGAATTTAGAATAGAACCTTGTTGAATAATAAAAAACTGTCATTGTGTCTCTCATAATTAATACACCACCCCAGACGACCTCCAGGCTTCAACGTATGGAAGGCACCAAGGCGGATAAAAATGGTATGTCGTTTGTGCATATTCAAAAACACTATCAAAATCGGGTAGCTGTCTAGGCTAGAGGACTTTTTAACAGCTGTAGCGTGGGTTTCTGCCGCCCAGATCCACCTGTTTCTTACCCTACCCTTGGTAAGTGTGTATATATGTGTGAAAACATTCACTGAAATAGTATGCTATTCGTTTTAATCGAAAATATTCAGTTTAATATATAATAGCATAGTCATAGAATTATTACGTAATTATTACTGGATAATAATTCTATGAGCATAGTATAAAAGTTAAGGCATGGAGCTCACTTTTCTTTCCTAAAATTCTGCCCCCTGTATCTGCCGCTTGGGCCATGGCCCCCTTGGTCAACCTTTTGTTACGTCACTGCTTTTTGAGTTCAAAGCTGGACCTAGGCCCATGCCCATTCAACATTTTTTTAAATAGAATAAGAGCTACGAACGTGCACACAGTCCATATAATAAGTGGATGCTGTACACGTGTACGTGTATGTGATGCCCATAGACATCTAAATTTATCCTAAGTTAAGAATTAAAATGCAGATACATTGTCACCCTTAGGAATTAAGATGGAACGCTTCGTATCCAGTAAAAAGGGTCTCCAGTTCCCTACACTCACCATACGAAACACAGCAGCATTGAGTTGCTATTTTACGCTAGTATTCTGTACGTGCGTGGTCCTACCCCGGCCGAACCGACCCATACATAGCCTACAACTATAATATAGCTGCAGCATGGCTCTACCACTTAAAAGTACAATAAATCAAAATGCGGGGCATATCCGACTTGAGACGTGTAGACATGTCGACATACTATAACGCATGTCGTGTGTGTAAAATGCGTAACATACATACATACATACATATAATCACGCCCCTTTCCCGTAGGGGTAGGCAGAGACCACTTCTTTCCACTTGCTACGATCCTTACATACTTGTTTTGCTTCGTCCACTTTCATTATTCCTTTCATACATGCTCTACGGTTTAGAGTACTCTTGACCTGGCCTTTTTTCAAGACGTCCCTGATTTGGTCTAGAAATGTCCGCCTAGGTCTACCCCTTCCAACACTTTCATTCACACTCGCCTTATACACTTTTTTCGTCAATCGTTCTTCAATCATTCTCTCGACATGGCCAAACCATCTCAGCATACCTTTCTCAATTTTTGTCACTACATCTTCTTTCAGACCACAACGTTTCCTTATCTCACTATTTCTTATCCTGTCACTTAGTTTAACTCCTATCATACTTCTTAATGCTCTCATCTCAACTGCATTTATTCTGCTTTCATGTTTCTTCTGCCATACCCAAGTTTCACTTCCGTACATGAGTGTCGGAACCAACACCCCCTCATGCACAGCCAAACGAGCCTTGTTAGACACCTTCCGACTGCTCATAAAGGAGTGTAAAGCTCCATTCACCATGTTTCCTGCATTCACTCTTCTTTCGATATCACTCTCACACTTTCCATCTCTTGTAAACTTTGAACCCAGATACACAAACTCTTTCACCTGTTCAATTTGTTCATCTTCAATCACAATATTGCAGTCTGTCACTGCCTCATCTTTTTCAAACACCATCACTTTCGTCTTCCTTACATTCATCTTCATTCCCTTTCTAACAAAAGCTCCACTCATAGCAGTTACCATCTCCTGCAACTCCTCGGCCGAAGACGCAAGTAATACTTGGTCATCAGCATAGAGAAAACATTTGACGAGTAACTCATTCATTCTCAACCCACTTTCATTCTCTTTTAAATCTGTCAAACAATTGTCCATGAACAGATTAAACAGCCACGGTGACGCTACACATCCCTGTCTAACACCTTTTTCGATATTAAACCATTCAGTGTATGCCCCGTTTATCCTTACACAAGCACTAGAATCCCTATAAAGAGATTGCATTGCTCGTATGAGGATACTGCTCACACCGTTCACGGACAATGCTGACCACAATTCATTCCTCACCACGTAACATCCTAGAATAAACGATGAAGGCTAAATATTAGTTACATTGCATAATACTAGCCTTGATTTTTGAACGAAAATTTATCTGTATGCACAATACATTATCGATCGACGAGAAAGTACGTATACCGTAAAATGCCCTAACTTTGCACAAATTTTGAGGTTTTTGTGATACAATTTTTTGACACGTATAGAAAAAGTGATATATGACATGTAAAGAACAAATGCAAATCAGAACTTTATACGCTCAGCAAAACAACCCATTATAGCCTACACCTCATATTTTCTGAGAATAAGCTTCGAAAAGGCCAGGCAAAGTTAATAGCAAAAATATCGCAGTTGAAAATGTGTTTCAAAAAATAAACAGATTCCACTCCCTTAAAGTATTGGTTGGTATTATTCCTACTTATCCATGTCATAAAGTGTAAAACTTTTAATTTTTTTATTTAGAAGGTACGAAAAGTTAGACAGACATTTTGAACATTTAGTCCTTTTTATGGGGAACCTTTCAGGGCTGTTACGTAGTAACCACTGACAAACAAAACAACTTATACCTATGTTAAAAATTTAAAAATCATTAATGTTACTTCTTTTTATTAAGTACCTAGGTAACAATCTGTACATACGCAATAATATAATTATGCTTACAAAATTATAATAATAAATAAATGTTGGTAATCTTGTATTTTAATTAGGTATATTTTAATTAGGTTATAATAGCTTGATAACTTTGGCATGATTTTAGACTTTTTATAAATCAACATAATAAGGCGGGTAATGACTAAAGGAGAAGGAGACGTCTTCATACATTCTTGGGCCCAAGTGTTAACAAGATGAAAGTAAGACCATTTGAAAGCGTATATATAAACAATTCACAGCTGAAAATCTGGCAAGATTTGTCAATCTAGGAGCTGAGTTATTGTAGGATAAGTAAAAGTAAGACTATCTATTACCTACACTGTAACAGGTGATTTTTCACTGTTATTACACTACAACAGACTATTTTTCACTATAATTACTTTAGGATATAAAAGCAGGATCAGTATAAAATCACCAAAAAAGCTGTGGTTAATAATGAAATGAAATGGTGAAACGATTAACGAAAGTTAAAATAACAACAACCAAGTGACGTGAATATTAGCGATATCGATCTGAGATCGATTACTTGAATTGCTGTTGTAACTGTTACTTGTTGGAATTTTGATATTTTGTATTTTTTATTATTATTTTGTAGACATGTACGCATTTTTTTTAATATCCCTAGTTAGCACAGAAAAATAATCGAAAATAGATATTAAAATGCTCAATTTAATCAAGAATATTGCGCTCGTTTCAAATCGAATCGAAAATCTGTCTTTATCTTTTAAGTAAATAATTTGAAGTTAGAACAGTCAAGTTTCAAAATGAAAAGTCCTCTATTGAAAGATAACGTTCTGAAACAAGAATTTCACTATAATAGCAATAAATCGATTACCATAAAGAATACACTACTATCGATTTTCTAAAACTTATTTGTTATTTTATTGTTTTTTCGAAATCTAGATTGTAAAAAGAGCTACTTTTTTGTATTTTACTTAAGAAAAATATGGACAATTTTTTAAAGTATAAGCCAATTAGTTAACTTCAGGCCCAAAAATCCCATTCTCCGTTACAAATTATACTTAAAAACAATCGAAAATTAAGCGTATAGCCTAAAATCGACTGCATTAAATTCATACTGCATCAAAACATATTCGTCAGGATTTATCAAGATATTTGTTGACTTTACTTAAAATGGTACGCCTCTGGGAATCCCGAATTGTTTTTGTGCTTCATACGATGATAATCTATTAGATTTTATGAGATCAACCGCTAAATTTAGCACTTCGGTGGAATAATTCACCTACCTATTAAAATAATAAGTATTTTTCAGGATATTTATGTAAAACATAAAGGTTATATTATATACTACGTTCTAACTGCGTTCGCGCTTGCGCATATTTGTCGCATATTTGTCGCGTATATGTTGCGCATGTTTGCAAAGTTTTGTCGATTTTTCATAAAAAGTGACAGTCAATTGTTTGTCTTGATTTTACCATCTTAAACTCGTTTCAGAAGAACACGCCATAGGTACAAGGATATGAAACTATTTTTCATTTAATATGGTTCATCAAATCCGTAAAATAGTTTAAAATATTCACAGAATGAAATTTTGAAGTGCAGACAAAATATCAGCAACCACAATTTGCGCAATTCTGATGTTCACTGACATTTCACAACTTTTTTGTTAGAACCAAAAATAAGCGTTGCCATGAGATAAAAATCCTAGCGTAGACTCAATTCTCCCGCTAAAATAGCCTACTAATGAAATACAAATGATCGATTTAGGCAAAGTAAGATAAAGTCGAATATTTTACGGTATACAGTTGATTAATTACGATTTAAAATTTATACATTATAACAGTTTTGTGAATAAACTTAATTTTTTTGTTATTAAGAATGTTCAAAATGTCACATTTAAGTAATTTGTAAGGCTAAACTGACTAGCAATAAAATTTCATAGTACCTATGCGCGTAACTCGAGTTTTAACCTCGCCGTTACCAATAAACGTGTCAGTACGTATAGGTACTATTATCTATTATTTGGTGTTAGTTGCAATTTTAAGAGCTAATTGACCACGTGAACGAGTGACCACGCGATTGACGCGATGAAGGAAAATATCGATAAAATATTTCGGACACATCCGCTGACGCACTGCAGCAGCGCGGCTCACCAATTGCTCCATATTATATTTATCCATACAGAAAAATCCTCATAGAAATCTGTAGGTACCTACTTTTTTTAATAGATATGGATCACAAGCCAGCACCCAGTCCTCCTGATGGTAAGTGGTGACTGTGGCCCATAGACGTCTACATTTATCCTCGTTTGCGAATTAAAATGCAGATACGTTGTCAGCCGTAAGTACTAAGATGGAATGCCTCTATTCCATTAAAAAGGGTCTCCGGTACTCTACACTTACCATACGAAACACAGCAGCATTAATCTGCTATTTTACGCTGGTATTCTGTGAGAGAGTCGTCCTTCCCCGCTCGAGCTGACCTATTCATGCTACAATTATACAATTAATATAGCTGCAGAGTGGCTCAACCACGTACTACGTACACGTACGAATAGAAGAAATATCAATATAACGTAAAAAGTATACAATAAAAATATTTGATTTAAATCTGTATTTTGTTATCGAAATACAAGTGTTGATAATGAAACATTCACCACATGATTCATTTTATACATATTATAATATATTTGGTATAACAAGTTTGCAAAGTTGATACCATTTTTTCTAAAACATTTTTTTATGAATACTTTCAAGTATGTTACAAAGGTTGTTTATAATAACAATAAATAAAATAATTGTTATTATATTTAAAGAAATACTCCGTTATCAAAAATCCTTCTCGAAAATTCTTTTTCTTCTACGGTATAATAAAAAAAAAGAACACCAGCAATCCTATTAACAATACTTCCTGTTACTACCATTTCTTCGGTTAAGTGTTTACGTAATCCGGTAGTAGTCGAATGGCAGAAACTACAATTTTTTACACAGTCAGCTTTCATCACTTAATATTTTTGAGGAAAAGTTAGAGTGACAAACGAACACACAGTCGTGAGTGTATGCTGTGGCCATGTGCACAGACACCTCGATAATATATGCCCGATTAAGAATCAAAATGCAAATGCGCTATTATCCCAGAGGACTGAGATAGATCATACGATATGCTGTGCAATAGTTCTAGTTACTCACCCACCATACGACATGCAGAAGTATTAGGTATGCTGCTGTTTCACGCTGGTACTTTCTGTGTAAGCAAAGATCTTCGGCGAGCCGACCCATTCTTGTTGGTGCCACAAACGCAGCACGAATGGGTCGCTCCAGCTCTAGGGTCACGGTAGCTAAAAAATAATAAAGAGAGAAAAATAATATGTACTTAAAATATTTAAATTTACTCACCAGTTAATTCGATAGCCCGTTCGAAGTCAGCTTTTTCTGAGTTTGGGGCTTTTTCCGGGTCGCACTTGGCTGATGTCTTCAGCGATGGTACGACGCCTGAAGAAAAATAAAGTAAACATAAATGTCACTGGATCACAGGATTTCTCAAACTGTGAATTCTTGAATGACGATGTTATCCTAGTAGATTGTGACTAAATAATATACAGAATAAAATTCTTTATAATATTTATAAAAAAAAATAATGAGCTGTGGTATCTCAGGCCCTTCGTCACCGGTGAAATCGTAAATTGCAATTTTATGTGCTGATTTATCCCGTGCTCGGCGGTGAAAGAAAACATCGTGGGGAAATCTGCATGTCTGAACAATTTTGTTTATACAATAAGGGTTAGAAACGAGCACAAAGTCCATCTGATAGTATGTGGATGCTGTGACCCATAGACATCTACATCTATCCTCGATCGAGAATCGAAATGTAGATGCGTTATCACCCCGGAGGACTAAGATGGGATGTAAAAATGGTTTCCGATCGATTCTCTAAACTCACTATACGAAACACAGCAGTATTGAGCTGCTGTATTTGAGAGCGTAGTCCTTCTACGGTCGAGCCGACCCATTCGTGCTACAACCATAATATAGCTGTAGCGTGGCTGTACCACATATAAAATATTTCAAAGTCTGCCATCACATACTCGTGCAACGGGGCAGACTTATCACTTCAGTAATGAGAGCACGTTTATGCCCAGCTGTTGTAGGTGTGGGAGGTGGGACGAATTATGATAGCAACGTTGCTTTTACTTTACTAAAAATATATTTCTTTATAGGATAAGGGCAACAAACGAGCATACAGTCCACCTGATGGTAAGTGGTTGCTGCGGCCTACAGACATCTACATCTATCCTCGATTACGAACCAATATGCAGACCCGTGAGGACTAAGATATAATGCCTCGTTTCTAGTAAAAAGGATCTCCGGTTATCTCAACTCACCATACGAAACACAGCAGTGTTAAGCTGCTATTTTACGCTGGTATTCTGTGAGAGCGTGGTCCTTCCCCGGTCGAGCCGACCCATTCGTGCTACAACTATTACGAAAAAAAGATTAAGCATCACAGATGTCATGCACGTCCTCTTGGCAGTTTTTCAACCCCAACATCTGCTTGTAGTCGTAGACTTTCATCCGTTTATAAAATAAACAAACGACATCGTTTGTATAGCGACGAATAATACAATCTAGAGACGGCATTGTTATAAGTGAAATATATAATGGGAAAAATAAGGGAACATTCTATGTACATAAAATTCACACGGACAAACATCCAGACCTGGAATAACTAATTGAAGTCCGTGCAAATAATTGCTGATGAAACTGATGCTGAACAATTTTTTTGCCACTGCGCCATAAAGTCGACAATTAAAATAAAATAGATAAAATAAGAGTAAAAAATATTGAATAATCCTGATTACAAAACGTGCTTAAAGGTTGTAAAAGGATATTATCACATATCTCACTGCTCAATGTCACCATCCATCGGATTATTTCTACGGAAAATGCGCGCCATTTTGCAATCGCGTCATTTTAATTGACATTCACGTTTCATGTTTTTAAAAAGACAATATACTTAAAATAACGTGCACAGAATATACCTATAAACCTACAAATTATATACATTTTGTATTTACATTATCACTTGTGACTACATCGTAAAGGAAAACAAAGGTCGTTGCGGTCTGACTTCGCATTAAATCAGACTACTATAGTAATTCAATAGCAATAAATATAATTTTTCATTAAAATTTTTTTTTAACATCTCATTGTTCAATAGGATATGATTATTTTATGGTAGTAAAAAGTTATTTCAGTCTATAATATGCCACTGCTGACCGCAGGTCCCTTCTCATTTTAAGAGAGTTAGGGAGCAATTACATTATCCGCAGTGCTTCTCCAGTACGTATTGGCGGACTTCACATGTCCTACTAACTCCTCATTTCCTAACGATATTTTAATTCATCGCCGAGCACGTGGTTACTTACCACTTGAAATTGCAATAAGCAATTCATTAATGCCGGCAGAACTAGAACCCGATTTGTTCCCGATATCGTGTACTGTGAGATTTACGGTCATAGCTTAGTCCCTGAACTACCACGACCTACCTGACGAACCACGGCTCAATGGTTTATTTATTTATTTATTTATCCTTTTTTTCAACACACCTTCAACTAGAGATTAAAAAGTGCGTTTAATTGTATAAAAAACTGAATTCCCTAGGGTATTCTTTACAAATCAACCCAAGAAAGATGGAATAAATAAAGATGTCGTTCATGGTAATATTGCTTATTACAAATTTTTTAGAACGACTATCGGTCCGTGGGGTTCACGTGCGGTAAAGCTTGTTTACGCAGCTTGTCGTCGCTGCTGGTGTCAAAAGGGCTGGTTCTTTTCTCGTTCGACGGCTAAGTGTAGTTATTCTAGGCTAACGGGGGAGTATACTGTATGATAATTTTAGTTTTTTTTTTCACTATTAATTATCATAAAAATATTATATATTATTAGGTTATGAAAAATGTATTAACTGAAACATCAGGACGTGTAGTCGTGGCGATAGACAATACATCATTACATCTCGTCCCTAGACCACAAAAAGCAACGTCTGTGGAACCAGACGTCTTTGTCTGGTTATGAGGTCATCAATTAAAGACAATGGTAAAGATCCTTTTACATGACAAGAGTGATGTGGTGACTGACATAAGGGAGGGAAAGAAAACGTTACTTACCAAGGTCAACGGTTTTGGAACCTGGGCCGTTTAATTGGTGTTCGTCTTTTACATCACAATCTGAAACGAAAGCATTTTTTTAAATTACATGCCTGTGATAAATACACGTAGCTTGAAATATAACACATTGAAGACCTAATTTTAGCGCTCATGTATACTTTAGGTATACATGAGGTGAACAGAATAATTTTCATTCATTTCAGGTAGATTACATATAATATCAAAAGTAATTTATACAGTATTTTAATTTATACTATAGAACTGGTTTGAAAAAAAAAGCCTTTGTCCAGTGAAAAACCAACAAGCGAAACCAAGCGGGACTTTTTTTTATAATAATTTACAACATACGAGTGTGTTGTACAGTTAAACATAAAAACATTTTTAAATAGATTGGTAGCGATCACCACGCGAACTCAATGATATACATACGTGATAGAGCCGTGCTACATGGGTGATAGGGTATTAATGCTGCTCTCTTAGTATGGTGATAACGCTTCTGCGTTTTGATTCTTAACCGAGGGTAGATGCACATGTCTATGGGCCGCAGCAACCACTAGTAGTTTATTAAAAACTAGCGGTCCGCCCCGCCTTCGCCTGTGTAGGATCTATTAATGTGGCGATATTAAGAATCGAAAACCATTTAAATTACCAATTTTTCGTTATTTTCAAAAAAAATCTCCAACTTTTACAATCGATTCAGCCATTACGAAACCCGGACATGTAAATAGATAAAAACTTTAGAAATAACTATTTAAATGTTAATGGCATGCAAATAACTTCCGGAGCTCGATAAAAGGCAGTTATTTCAATATTACAGACAAACAATTCAATTTTCATCATCATCATCATTACAGTCCTTCACAAGTTCACTGCTGAACATAGGCCTCCCCCAAGGAATGCCACAACGCACGGTCCTGAGCCACCTGCATCCATCAACTTCCTGCATGTCTTACCAGGTCTCATCACTCCGTCTAAATCAAATCAAAATTATTTATTGTATGACTACAGGTAAAATTAAATAAGATCTTAAGATTATGTTATGTACATTTGCGCTCCATATTCTACCTATTTCAGATGTACAATATTAAGTCTCAATTATATTTATAAAAATAAACGATATCCTTATCAAATACATAGATTAATTCATTCATTTCATCGTAATTTTTTACTAAATTATTATTACAATATATGAAGTTAGTTTTCTATACTAAAATACTTTAATTTTGTCTTAGTACTCAATAATAGTTAAGTGAAATAATAAATCTAACCACCAAATATATCATTACTTCTTTGTTGTCTATAAATTCTTGTATGCTGTAGAAGCATTTATCTAATAACCACGTGTTCAGTACCTTTTTAAATCTTATATCGTTCATATTTTTAAAAGAGTCAGGAACATTATTGTCAATTTTAATGGCATTACAGTAAATGCTTTTAGTATATTGTACTGTTTTCGGATAAAATGAACTTGTTATTTTATAAGGCTTCCTGGGATTTTCAAATTTTTCAAATAAGTGTTCATATTTCCGTATAAATGAAAATATGTCTTTAATGTATAAATAGGGTAGTGTTAAAATGCCCAGTTTCTTAAAAAGTGGTCTACAACAGTCACTCTGAGGAGTTCCGCACATAGCTCTAATGCACTTTTTGTGCATTTTAAATACCCTGCCGATATTTGGGGCGTTGCCCCAGAAAATTATGGCATACGCTAGAACTGATTGTATATATCCATGGTATGCCATCAAACCTGCTTTAAAGCAAACAGACGTGTTAAAATTATTCAAATTATAAGAAAAAATGTTTCACTATTATGATCTACGTAATCGTGTATACTCGTATTATTGGAATGCGAATCTTTCGTGTTTGGCACAGTCTATAAAATGATTGTTAAAGTAATTAGCCATTAGTTTTTTATTTGTTATTGTTTTATGATTAACCACAATCTTTGGTATAATCATTTGTATAACATTATTACCAGAATAGTTTTTATTAGAGACCAATTAGCCTTAGCCTTGTTACTTTCTATTAATCGTTGTTATTTTCTACTAATCGTAGATTTGCTTTTTTATCGAACACTTTGTACAAGTCTTCAGTATTGACGCATATTTTAAATACTTTGTCTTAAGATTTTTTTCCTTCGTATTTATATTCTTTATATAAGTGTCTTTTTAACTTTACTGGATACCTTTATACCTTTTGTGAACCATCTGTTCTTGTTGTTTTGTGTCATTTTTATTCTAATTTTAGGGAAATACAAGTCATAGAACAATTATTTATATGTATCTATAAAGCTGTTGTAGGCTATGTTTACATTAACTTGTTCTGAGATTACCTCTGAGAAAGAAATGTTTTTCAAGCATTTCTTGTATTTATGAATATTATTTTATTTCTCGTTGGCATGTAAACCAGAATTTTACATTTTGCCTTCGTTTTAATGGAATAGATAATGATTGCCCGGTGTGGTCTGATAAATTTAGTTCATATATTCTAGGAATTCCACCTTTAAAATTACACAAAATATTATCTATACAAATTTTAGTTGTCTTGGTTATTCTTGTCCGCTCAGACACCATAGCACTGAAATTATAAGAGCTTAATATTTCGTTAAATTGATAAGCTATCGTATATTTTTTTAGCATTTGGGAGGAGATCTATATTAAAATCACCACAAATTATTAATTAATTATACTTGAAATTATTTTTGTAGCTGACTTTTAATAACAATTGTTCAAATTTTTCAAAAAAGATGCTAATATCACTTTCAGGAGTCCTATATATGCAAAGAACTAACAATTTTTCACCAGGCAATGAGATACCGCAACATTCAAATACTTTTTCTGTAGCTAAAGGCCTTATATCCTCATACATATCATATTCTAGATTGCTTTTTACTTTTTTTTTATATAGGATAAGGGTGACAAATGAGCACACAGTCCACCTGATGGTAAGTGGTTGCTGCGGCCCATAGACATCTACATCTATCCTCTGTTACAAATCAAAATGTAGATGCGTTGTCACCCGTGAGGACTAAGATGGAATGCCTCATTTCCAGTAAAAAAGGCCTCCGGCCACCTGCACTCACCAAGCGAAACGCAGAGGTAAACCTCTACTTCACGCTGGTTTTCTGTGAGGTCGTGGTACCACCCCGGTTCGAGCCGGCCCATCAGTGCGACAGCAAAAGCTGCCGCGTGGCTCTACCACTGTTAATACTAAGATAAAAGAGCCTCCTCTATTGCCATTCTTCTTTTGTGAGTCCTTAATTTTTTTTCTTGCAAATGAATTTGGTCTTTTATATCCGTTTATTTGTTAATTATCTTCATTTCCAGCAGTGATAAAATGTTCTGTCAAGCATATTATGTCTGGAACTAGATTTTGTTCTTAATATAGAGCATTTAGTGCTATGGTAAATCGCTCAATTTTGCCTAGGACTTCTGCTATATTTTGGTGAAATACACAAATTTGCCTATTCTCGAAAAAAAAAACAATGACATCGTTTTGTGAAGACTTTATTTGTACTTTATCAGTTGTAGATACAGAGTGGGAAGCCTCTATAAACGTATTTATTTTGTATTAAATCAAAAAGCGGGGGGTCGCGCTACACTTCGCCTACCGGTACGAGGCTGCCACTCAAGAACCTTTTTTTCCCATCGGTTATCGTTTCTTCTAGCTATATGGCCGGCCCATTGCCACTTCAGCTTACTAATCAGTAATCATTTCAATATTATTTATGTGAAATTGTATTATTATTTGAATTGATAAAACCACCATAAGTTTAACCCAGTTAATTTTCGAGTCATCTGTAATTTCGAGATCAGTGGGCTTAACGAGACTCGGAATAGGAAAGAGTTTGCTAAATCCGTCTTAATTAAATATTTTCGAAATGGGTATAATTATATACTAAAATTTTATTGGTGATGGTTATTGCGAAATCGTTCGCTGGGAAAAGTATATGTAAACGAGTCTTTATATAGCGATAAACTTTACTCACTGTGAGGTTTCTTGGGCCCGGGGTCAGTTTCTACCATCCTATGCGGGCGATCGGCGATGTATACTGGCGTCGGCGTGGACTAAAGATTGTCTTATTGGGTTTGATTTCGCTTCCAACGGCGCTGGGCTCGTCTGCAACAAAAGTGTGAAGTCAAGTAACAGTCTTTAAGCGTTACATTGTAAGGCAATTTTGCTACAACCATAATATATATACCCCAAAAATGTTTCTATATCAAGTTTACTAAGAAAAAAAAAGCCTTGCACTACTTGCTCACAGAAGTTGGTGAAATGAGAGATCTAGGAGTTACGTTGAACATAAAACTCATTTGAGGAACGCCTCATATTAATAGGATTGTAAAGAAAGCTGCGCAGATGCTGGGCTTTCTTAAACGCAATACCAGAGGCTTTCAAACAAGCACTAAAATCTTACTTTTTAATACCCTAGTAAGGAGCCAACTGGATGCGAGTACAATGTGGAACTCAACATACGCTGTGCACTGCCAAAGAATAAAAGGTATTCAGAGAGCCTTTACAAGACATCTAGCCTCCATATGTAGTGGAATTTCACATAGGTGTCCTTACGAACAGCGATTGGCATTTTTGAAATACCTTCTCTGAATAGTCGGAGAAAAGTTCAATACCTGCTGGTATTATATGAAATAGTAAACGGACGCACTGCCTGCTGTGAACTACTATATACAATAGTTCTCTCTAAATGTACCATACAATATCCGTCGTCGTCCAGTAACAAAACTGTTACATACTCCTCAATCCAGGACTAATGGGGTCATACGCCCCGGTACCGCGAATGTGTGACACCTATAATTCACTCTGTGGTGTATACTGTCGATATTTTTCACGATACTTTCCCTAAATATAGGAAAAATGTAATAGATCACTGTTATAAAAAATTTGTGAATGATTTAATTATAATCTAATATCCAAGTTCCCTACAGCTGTACTGTAATATCTTTAAGTATTATTTTTTGTGACATATTTCTTTATAAGCTATTGTAGCTCTGTCCTGTCTTTATTTTTATAGTATTTTGTAATGCTGTGTCACCTATAAGGGTGCACTTTCAATTTTTCAAGAAAATAATAATAAAAATATAACTGCAGTGTGGCTCTACCACGGAACAAATCGGGTTCAAATCGTATTTTTATATTAAAATTTCAAAAATACACGAGCTGTACTTTTTTATTTTCTTAAACTTACTTTTGCATATAAAAATAAACGTCCATTTGCACTTATGTCGGTGAGATAGCCCTGAATCCGAAACATCAATAGCTTTTTATGACGTAACCATTGAAAACATTATGAAGATCACTGTCGTAAAAACTTGCGATGTATTTTGAAAGTTTTAGTGCTTGCCAATTTCGAGAAAAGATAAAACAACACATCGCTTCTTTATCGTAACTGTTATCTTTACATTGAGCTGTAATTTTAGAGATCGTGAAGCATTGCAGCGACTTCTCCGAGGGTTTTAGGTTCGAATGCTGGACAGAACATAAATTCTCAATTTTCTGTTATAAGGTTTCTCTATCTGCTATGGGTAGTATACGACGAGTGGTATTACCAAATCTCTCGCGCAGTTCCTATCATTCCGAAGCTGCAGCCGTATTCAAAACTTACAACAGGCGACTAATGTTTTAACTAATTAGTATATTCAAGATTATGTAATTTCTACATTCAAGCGTTCAAATTTCCGTTGCAAACTCAGCTCTTATGTAGCAATTAAATTTAAAAACCGGTTATTATTACAAACTTTTTGTTCGGAAGGTTACATCGACTTAAATTAAAAATATTTACGCCGTCATGGGTAGTTAATACGAGTAAGTATTTTGATTTAAAAATATGTTTTTTTTTCATGCACTTTGTTCACAGTATCAAACATTATAGTCTGGTGAACGACGAATCACCTAACTTAGGAGAGGCCTTTTAATACGGTGATTATAATAATAATAGTAATGTCCTCCGGACCGACTGAATTTCGGTCAGGGCGGCCGGCCTAAACGGAGACTAGCCATCGGCGCAGGACAGGATTATAGTGCCCAAGTGTATGCGCAAGCACAGGTGTACTCTCTATTCCTGAGGGAAAAGAAAGTACCGCTTTGCTTTGAATATGAGAGCTCACTCTCATAGTCCGATGAGACGGCAATCCGACACGACCGGAGAGAAATCAGGCGCAGGACCAACGGCTTTCCGAGGCTCGGAGGTGAGACACCGCCGACTTCATGACTTTAACTATTGAGAATTTCTTTACGGAAAAACTCAGTAACTGAATTTTTTTGGCCTAACCCGGGAACCGAGAGGAAGATTTTAGTAATAATAATTAGTAATAGTAATTAATAAATTATTATTTGCACTATAGATTATTATATTAAGTCTCCGTCAGCGGTTTCAATCAAATATCTTGTTAGTTTTTATGCAAGCGTTCGCAATAATCATCAAAAATTACTTATTTCTAATTTCATGGGTATAATCGATCAAACGGTTTCACTAAAGCTTCGCAACTTTATTTTGTGATGTATATAATTGAATTTTTCATTTGATCTTATTCGCTTCCTTCAATGTGTTACATGGATGATAAGACTGGATCGAAAAGAGCACCATTGTTTATGCATCGGTTGAACACTTGAAAATGACCAGAGGCGTAAACTACTATTATGCTAATAGTATTACTAATTTTCTGAGCTGACAGCTAGCTTCATCGAACTTAGAGCTATACAAAAGGGGGACTGATGATGATGATGATAATGATGATAATGATGAGTCAGTGCTTAACTGAACATCAGGTTTCCGTTACGCTGTTTCTACAAATAAAGGCTATGCTTCTTTAAAATATATACGGACACAATGCTTGATACAGTGCATTTGATATTTACGATAAAACAAAATTTAATTCAAGGGTAATAAAATATTATGCATTTGGTTTTTGATTTGACTGACTTAAAAGCCTTTCAGATTATGCGAATTGCTTCTGACGCGTTAAAAAAAATATTTATATTAAGATAACTTAATTATATATCACAGTTACTTGGCATAATACGCATATCGCAAAACCCGTTATGAATTCTGTGATTGTCATTTATTATTATAAAACTGTTGAGACAAACGAGCTCACAGTCTACCTGATGGTAAGTGGCTACTGCAGTCCATGGACACTTGCAGCAAAATCAAAAACGAAGGCTACATTTGCGAATACCTTTGAGGATAAAGCTGGTGTGCCTCTCAGACTCTAATTGTACTGGCTCTCTGTATGTACCCTTCGGACCGGAACAAAGCAGTGCAAGCACTGATATTTGGCGGCAATAATTGGCAAGAGTGTGATGTGATACCTATCCTAGACAGTAAACGAGTCTTACCACTTAGTAAATTTAATAATTTAAAATTTTGTACAACCGACTTCAATATAAATTATTAAGAATAACTCAAAAACTATTGGTCACACCTTGATCAAATTTATATCGGACCACGTGAGAAACACCAGTTTTCAAATAAAAAAAAATCGAAATCAGTTCACCCAGAAAAAAGTTATGAGGTAACACACATAAAAAAAATCATAACAGTTGAATTGAGTACCGTTTTTTTTTTGAAGTCGGTAGAAAAAAAGCTTGCCCATAGTACTATTTTCATTATATTCAGAAGTACGAAAGAGAATTTTCATGGTAGAGCATTGAATAACGCTGCAGTGTATGTTAGCACGAATGGGTATGCTCGAGCAGGGAAACGGACCAACCTGAAAGGTAGCATAATGTTGCTGTGTTTGGTATGGTGAGTGACGATAACCGGAGACCCTTTTTACTGCTAACGAGGCATACAATGCATCTGCCTTTTGATCCGAGGATAGAGTATGTGAGAGTAAGGATCCACCGTATCCACTGTATACTGGTTTGTCGCCTCCACTTTTATGAACTTCAAAGAAATAAAAATAATAAAATAATTTGTATATAACAGCTTCAGCGTCTTTTACGCCGTGCTTTGTTTTTCAAAAAAATTAAGATAATATAAAAATCATGCATGAGTGTCGTCGAACATGTTTCGTAGTATATTATTATTGATAAACGTATTATGTTATTGTTTAACATATACAAATAAATTTTAACAGTGGTAGAGCGACGCGGCAGCTTTTGCTGTCGCACGGATGGGCCGGCTCGAACCGGGGTGGTACCACGACCTCACAGAAAACCAGCGTGAAGTAGAGGTTTACCTCTGCGTTTCGCTTGGTGAGTGCAGGTGGCCGGAGGCCCTTTTTACTGGAAATGAGGCATTCCATCTTAGTCCTCACGGGTGACAACGCATCTACATATTGATTTGTAATAGAGGATAGATGTAGATGTCTATGGGCCACAGCAAACACTTACCATCAGGTGGACTGTGTGCTCCTTTGTCACCCTTATCCTATAAAAAAAAAATGAATTACTAGCGTCTATTAAAATGAAGCGTCATTTAAAATAAAATAATATTTCTTTCATGGCAAGATAAGAAAAAGTGCGAGGGAGATGGATATTATACCATCTCGCTCGCACTATAGAAAGGGGGTCGTGACGTGATAATCTTACACTTTTTCTCGCCTAGCCCCCATCCGCCAATTTCGTACTGTGTGATAAGGAACTTCGTTCTAATAGTTTCCACTTATCAGCTTCAGAAGTCGGTGCTATATGATATGTGAAATATAGAAGATTTTAAGTCCCGACTTCAGAAGCTGTTATACCAAAATTATTCTTTTTAGTTTCTTGAAATCGTAGGTATGTTACTTTTTATTAAAAATAAATTTTTGACCCTTTGGAGTGGACTGCGGAATATCATTAGCTCCATATGACAACTAGAATGTCGTTTAAATAGTTACATTAAACTTCATTCTCTATTTTTACACTACTTAGGGTTGGATATTTATTCTAAATTTAAATGAAGATATCGCAAGTAGCATACGACCAAAAAAAAAAGAACACAGAGTCGAATTAAAAAAGAACATAAATTTTTATGAAGTCTGCTAAAAAGAAAATAACTACCAAACCACTAATTTAGTAGGTACCG